ACTATATTGAACTGGAGTGGTGATAGTGGATATCCTTGTCTTGTTCCTGATTGTAGTGTAAAGATTTTCAGTTTTTGACCATTTAATTTGATGTTGGCTGTTGGTTTTTCATAGATAGCCTTTATCAAGTTGAGATAAAAACCATCTATTCCAATTTTCTTTAGGGTTTGTGTAATGAATGGGTGTTGAATTTTATCAAATGCTTTTTCTGCATCTATTGAGATAATCATATGGTTTTTGTCCTTGACTTTGTTAATATATTGATTTACATACGTCAAACCAACCTTGCCCCCCTGGGATAAATACTACTTGGTCAAGGTGTATGATCTTCTTAATGACCCTCTGTATTCTGTTTCCCAGTATCTTACTGAAGATTTTTGCATCTATGTTTATTAGGGAGATTGGCATGTAGTTCTCTTTTTTGGTTGTGTCTTTCCCTGGTTTTAGAATCAAAGTAATACTTACTTCCAGGAATGAATTTGAAAGTATTGCTTCCTTTTCAATTTCATTGAAAGGTTTAAAGAGTAGTGGCAGTAGTTCTCTAAATGTCTTGTAGAATTCAGCCGTGAAGCCATCAGGATCTGGGCTTTTCTTAGTTGGTAAATTTTTAATTACATTTTCAATTTCACTGATTGTAATTAGGTAGTTAGAATTTTTATATCTTCTTTATTCAACTTTGGTGATTCATATGTATCTAGAAATCTGTCCATTTCTTCTGCATTCTCTATTTTATTAGAGTACTGGTTCTCGAAGTAGGTATTGATGATCCTCTGGATTTCTGCTGGATCTGTTGTGACGTCACGATTTTTATTCCTAATTGCATGAATTTGAGCCTATTCTTTCCTTTTTTTGATAAAGCCAGCTAAGAGTTTACCAATTTTATTTATTTTTCAAAAAACCAACTTCTCTATTTGTTCATTTCTTGTATTCTTGTCTTAGTCTCCATGGTGTTGATTTCTGCTCTGAGCTTTATAATTTCCTCCCTAATACGAGCTTTGGGTTTTTCTTGCTCTTCTTTTTCTAGGAGCTTTAGATTCACCATTAGTTTGTTTGTTTGAGCTCGCTATGTTTTCCTAGTGTGGGGCATTCACTGCTATGAATTTCCCATGTAAAACTGCTTTCACTGTATCTCATAGATTCCTGTATGTTGTACTGGCATTATCATTAAATTATAAAAACTGTCTAATTTCTTCTTTAATTTCTGCTGTGATCCATTGGTTGTTCAGTAGAGTGTTGTTCAATTTCCATGTGTTTGTGAAGTTCTTATGGTTTCTTATTGATCTCAAGTTTAATTGCAATATGGTCTGATAAAATACATGGGATAACTTCAGTTCCTTTGCATTTACTTAAACATGTTCTATGAGCTAGCGTGTGGTCTGTTTTGGAGAATGACGCATGTGCAGCTGAAAAGAATGTATACTCTGCCAGGCATAGTGGTACATGAATATAATCCCAGCACTCGGGAGGCTGAGGCAGGGGGATCACTATGAGTTCGAGACCAGCCTGGGCTACATAGTGAGTTCCAGGTTAGTCTCAAATACATAGTGAGACCCTGCCACAAAAAAACAAAACAAAAAAAAAGAACGTATACTCTGATTCTATGGGGAGGAACACTCTGTAAATGTCATTTGTTCAAAGCTTGGTTCAGTTCTAGTATTTTGTTATTGATTTTTAGTTGAGATGACTGTCTCTTTGTGACAATGGGGTATTGAGGTCTCTCACTACAATTGTATTAGTGCTTATTTGGTGTTTCTTGTCCCTTAACATTTATTTTGTATAATTGGGGGCATTGGTGTTAGGTGCATATGTATTTATGATTGTCATGTCTTCTTATTGTGTTGTTCCCTTTACAAGGATATCGTGACCTTCTTTATATCTCTTCATTAGATTTGGTTTGAAATTTACTTTGTCTGCAAATAAGATAGCTACCCATACTCTTTTATGGGTTCCTGTCATATAGAGAACTGTTTTCCATCCTTTTACTTCCAGTCTATGAGTTTCTTTTTCAGGTGGGTGTGTTTCTTGTATAGAACATATTGTTGGATTTGCTTCTTAATCCATTCTATCAGACTATTCTTTTGGTTGGTGAATTGAGGCATTGACATTGATGGTTATAACTGATATGTATTGACTTCGCATTGTCATGTTATTTTCCTGTTGTTGGTTCTTTTTTATTTTTCCCCCCTCTCTTTAAATTCTTGACTATGGGATTTGCTCTGTAGGGGCTCATGGAGTTGTGACCTTCATTGTCTTTTTCTGGGATATTTAAAAAATTTGTTTGAAGTGCTGGTTTTGTATTCGTGAAGTTTCTCAGGTGTTCTTTGTCATGAAAGTATTTTATTTCTCCATCAACTTTGAATTTTGCAGGATACATCATCCTAGGTTGGAGGTTGTTTTCTTTCTTTTTTTTTGGTACCAGGGATCGAACTCAGGTCGTTATGCTTGCGAGACAGTCTCCAGAACCACTGAGCTAAATCCCTGGCCCAAGGTTGTTTTCTTTTAAAGCTTGAAATACCTCACCCCAGGCTCTCCTTGACTTGAGGGTTTGTGTTGAAAAGTCTGCTGTGATTCTGATGGGATTTCCTTTGCATGTAATTTATTTCTTTAACTGCTTGTAGTATTTTGTACTTCTTTTGGATTTCCGGGATCTTGACTATTATATGTCTTGGTGTAGATAAAAAATCATAACTAGTTGGAGTCCTATATGCTTATCTGTATATCAAGTTCTTTTGCTCCGTTTGGGAAGTTTTCTTTTATTGATTCTGTGTTTTTTTTTTATGTCATTTGTGCTTTCTCCTGCTTTTTTGTGGACTCCTATCAATCTTATATTATTCTCCTTTGCATCATCTAGGAGCTGTTGGATTGATTTCTCATGGTCTCTTACTATTTTTAATAGATCTCTCTCTCTCTCTCTCTCTCTCTCTCTCTCTCTCTCTCTCAGTTTTGCCTTAAAACTTCAATATGCTGGATTGTGGCATGAGGTATTTTTATTCCCTTTTGTTAATACTGAAAACCATCTGGTACATATTGTAAGGCAAATGACTAACACATCTCAAGCTCCTCATTTCATGGTAAATTGTGAATGACAGCCGCAGCTCCACGACACCAGTGTCCCTGTGTCTCAGGTTAAGTTGGCTTTCCCCGTTGGGGGCATAGCGTGCTGAAAGAGGACTACACTGAGTTGGCCAACTCGAGTTTAAAAAAGCTCAAGAACAGTAAGGGAATGACAGCCACCTGGTCATCACAGAGGACAGGCAAAAAGTTTTTCCATCAGTGGACCCTGTAGGGTAAGAGATCTCTCTTTTCATAGTCACTGATCACCATCCTGTCTTCTTCCTGGACTTGTATGCCATGACCTCTTGGAACACAGCTGGGTGTTGAGGGCTGGACAATTTTCAGTGGACCCAGAACTAGAACAAGTCACTGATCCGGAGGTTGAGATCATGGATGCATGATGCTAGATTCAGTGCCAGGTCCTGGGAGAAAATTCAGGCTGGCAGGCCGAACTGGAACTTGAAATGTTTATAAAGGTCTATAATAAGGACAGACTGATCCTCAGTATCTGGGAGATCCGGGGTGGAAGGAGCACAGAAGTAGCAAAGCCAAGAAGGGGTTCTGAGAGCCCTGAGCCAACAGGACAGTGACTCCAGCTGCAGTGCAGTCTGGGATGGAAGTGCAGGTGACATACTTTGGTCTATGAAGCCCTTAAACTTGACCTTGCACTGGCAGCTTTATCTTCGGGATGTGATACGTGGCTTTTTGCTCCCATTACCCCGGACTTTTTGACCAAGCTCATTTGTATTTTAGGCTCTTTGCCATTTATATAATATATCATCTCTTCTCCTCAAGCTTTCTCAGAACTCTAACATTATCCTATTTTCATTCTCTGCATGATCTTTAGAACTCCCCCTGCCCTATTTTCTAGATCCTCTCAGCTGCATGCTCGAGAGCAGGTCACCTGCTTGTCTTGTTCCTTTTTTATCCAGGTGCCTTTTATAAATCCTAGCATATCCTAGGTGGTTAGTAAATATTTAATGACTCAGTGAACACATGAACTAGTTAATAAACTGGTTACCATTTGAATTAATTTAGTTGGATGCACGGACAGACAGATACAATTTTCTGAAGCTAAAACCATTTGAAACCAAATCCTTGACTGAGTAACAGGAGCTAGAGAAGAAAGTTGTCACCTTCATCAAAGCTTTAGGAAATGAAGAGAATGAAAATAGATGCTAGGAGTAAGGTAGAGGAGAAGAGGTGGTGGAGGATAAACAATTAGAAGAAGGTGGTAAGCCCTGGCTTGGACACTGTAGAGGTTAACTAGAAGAATGCAAGCCATCCTTACTTTGAGAAATGTGAAAGCTAAACCGTACTTGGGGGACAGCCAGCTGAATTTTCATTTGGGTTCAGTTAAAGGAAGATTTGGATAAAGCCATCTGCACAATGGTTGTAGAAATAGTGAAATTTGTTCCCGGTTGAGTTTGGGAAGTTTGGAGGGGAAAGAAAATGTCTTAGACATCTGAGAGAAATAGGGTATGGGTGAAGAAGGGTCTAGCAGTAGAAGGAAGGGGGATTTGTTTTGAAGGTAGAGGTTCACAGAGATAACAGTCATAGCAGAAGTGATTCACCTCAGGGCTGGGGATTTGACTTAGTGGTTCCACCACCTGCCTCACAAGCTCATGGTCCTGAGTTCAATCCCTGGTACCAAAAAAAGAAGTGATTTGCCTCAAATGTGTGACCTGCTGCAAGTTTACAGGGTGACCCTCATCACCTGGTCTAGTGACACAGAACAGGGGCCCAACTGTCCCACAAGACCGTTGCCCTCTAAATATTTACACAGAAAGAGCAGCTATGTGTCACTAAGGGGCTTTGTGCTAGGTACTGTGCTAGGCGCTGGTGGTGGGAGCAGCAGTAGTTAAGAAGGGAAGTAAGAAAAGGGACTAAGAAAAGAATACTGTGCTTTTCAACCCTTATCTAACAACTGAACTCATTTCCACAGGCTACTCATTCTTCCCAAACAAGCGTAGTGGATAAGCACCAGCCGTGAGCAGTTCATCGAGGACTGTCAAGCCAGACTGAGTCGGGACACCTCCTTGCTGGTAGGCACACAGTTTTCCTAAGGAAGTAAAAGGGTATCAAGTAAATGAATGTAAGCCCGTGTCCAAAACTGAGCATTCCTTTGGATTTATATAACGTTGTACAATGCAGGTATTTGGGGGCTGCCCCCAACGGTGCAGTATAAGAGCCCTCACCTGTAGAAGGCTGCTCAATGCCCTCATCTCTGTCTTGAAGAGTGGGCTTCCATATCTTTCTGTGACAAATGAGGGTGCCCCGTCTTAGAGGAGCTAACTTGTCGAGCACAAGAACATACCCAGCTTCAGGGCCATGTTCTTTCCAGTTGCGCACCTCACAGTAGCCACAAAGAATAAGACTCAGTACTGTTAGGAAAAATGGAAAAGGAAGCTCACAGCCAAAGACAGGTCTTATTAGAGGCCTGTCAGGGACCGATCTGGTGGTAGGGACCAGAAAGGCCACCCCCTTACAGTCCATGGGGTTCTCATAGAGCAGTGGAGAGCAGCAGTAACAGGGTTAGGCTGAGGTGGTCAGGGGCATTGTGCTTGACTGTGGGGAGGGGCAGGGCTCCCTCAGGACGGTGGTCATTAGGGCTGCCGCAGCTAGCCAAGGGGGGAAAGCTGCGGTCTCTAGGCCTTATCAGCCCGGGACTGCTCTGGGGAAGGAAACCCTAAGTCCACAAGGCTTGAGGATGGCGGGGCTGAAGGGGCTGTGGCGGTCTGGTTCCTTCAGGTATCACAGAAGTAGTTTGTGTCACAGAAATGCTGCCTTGGGAAAACGGAAAGTGGAGAACAGGTGTTGGGTGTCTGAATATTTATTATGTCTGAATTTTTCACCAGTGCCCTTTGAGCAACCACGCACAACACTGTGCAGACCAGTGCGGGGTCCCTGATGAGAGTCCTGCCTGCACAGACGGGAGAAGGAGTCCACTGCAGCCTGGCTGATACCTGGTGGGAGACCGGCAGAGAAGACAGGCAGGTGAACCACACAGGTTCCATCCAGGTGCGTGGCCGTCGGCTGAGCATGAGGCGGGTGCTGGGGTGCTAGAGCTTGATGTTGTTCTGGGCCTTGTTGTGATTTGTTTATGAAAGGAAAACCAAAAGCCTGTTTTTTTTTTTTAATGTTTCCCTGTAAATGAGGAGCATTTTTGTAATCGGGAGTTGGCTGAGAAACTTGGGTTGTGGCAAGAGAACAATTATCTGGGGTTTCCCATTGTCAGACTGAAGAAAACACATAACAACTCGCAGCCGCCGCCCCCCCCTCCGTACTTTCTCAGAGACCAGGTCTTCGTGTGTCTGGGCATCTTTAAAGATACTGAAAAGCACTTAGAGAGAGGGCAGTTTGTAGAATCAAAACCAGATGTTTTTCCGCTTAAAAATCAAAACAATCAACTCCTCTCTGGGCCTCCAGCTCTGCTCAAGATTTCTCATTGAGACAACTGTGCCGATTCAATTGTAAGTGACCTAAGAGGACTGAATTTAAGAACATTACATTTTTAAACCTTTAAATCTCTTTGCCACTGTTCAGACCCACAGAATTTCACAACCTTTTCAGGGCTGTAAACAGATTTATTTCAGCCAGAAGCTGCCTGATTTTCCTTGCAGATGTGTGGCAAAGCTTTCTATTTAAAATAGCAGTTTTATTTTTTTATCTAAACTTTTTTTTAGATCTTTATATTCCCACTCCAACTTGAGAATGAACAATTTACACTTATTGCAAATAATGTTTAGTTATATGATTATTGGCCACCAAAGATAATCAAGGGATACTTTGGATTAAAACTGTTGATTGAAAAGTACATAAGCAGCTACAATAAAAATTATAAACTGTGCTTTTTAAAGGCATCAAGCAACCAGGAACAAAAGTAAGAAAAAGCAGCATAGTTTTTGGAAGTTGGAAAGCAGATGGTAAGAAATAATGGACCTAACAGACCTGAGAAACTTGAAACCCTTGTCAGAAGTAGAAGGAGTTAAAGAGAGATGCTATTCTTCCCATGGAATCTCTAAAATGCTCAGGAATTAGCAGCAGCAGACATCTCTGGAGTGGGGGATGGATGCATAGTTTAAGAGGACTGGCTGAAAGCATAAGAATTGTCCCTCAGTTCTCCACCCCCATTCCACAAAGCTGATCAACTGCATCTCCACACCTTAATTGAGTTTAACCTTTAGGTGTGATTTATTTAAAAACATCTCTGAACTGAGGAACATTAGTAATAGCTGGAAGCAAAAATATCATATGAACAAACAGAAGTTAAAGTATACATTCTGAGCTTTTATTTCTCCATCCTTTTTTTTCCCCCGATCTGGTTCCCAGAATTCTGGCACTATTAAGCCTATATTTTGCAGGCAGTATATCAGAAGAATCATTTCTAGTAAATTGGACTACTCAAAAGAAGAGATGTCAATAAAAGGACACATTTTGAGAACTGCATTTATATTTTCCAGTTTATGTTGAAGGTCATAATCTACATGCCTCACTAAAGTTTATATTGCATGCAGTGTAAATAGACAGCCAAGGATATCCAGAGATTTGAGGAAAATATGAAAAACAGTACTACAAAGCCTACATTCATGATTTTAGAGATATAAGAAGAGAAATCAGAAAAGAATGGTATTAAAACATTTACAGGTCAAAAGAATTCTTAAAAATTAAGAAGATGATAGCAGGAATTTAAAATGCCCTGAAAAGTTCGGAGGACAAACCTGGGGAACTCTCTTAGGAGGTAAAAGGGCGGAGTTGGGATTGGCCAACACATCCATGTGGAGGAGGGGTCACATCTGAGAGACTCAGAGACAGTCAACTAGACACAGTGACTGGAGGACGGAGGGGCATTCACCCTGGTACAAATATCATTTTGAAAGAAGAAACTTGCAGATCAAACAAAATATAGGCATAGAGATCTAAAGGGGAAGTGGCCAGTAGGACTAGTCCACAGGGCTTCCAGCCTCACCTGATCTTAGCTCTTTCTGGCTAAGACCATGAGCCTCAAGCCTGATTCGTCCGTATTTACTGCTAATACAACATAGCAAGGGGCGTAAAGGCAGATGTAGGGAATAGGGCACGAATGAGCCAGGCTTGTGAAAAGGGAGGAACAGCTCATTCTTGAGAAGGACAATTTAGTTAAGTTTCCTGTGGTATCTTTAGCTATAGTTTGACCTGGGAGAATGGCTGCACAGTCACAAGTCCTCACCTGCAGTATCGTCTTGCTGTTAGAGACAATGCAGTGTCAATTCTGTCTCCTTATGCCAGCTGAAATCTCTTCTAGCTCACATGTAGGCCGAGGACAGACAGTTTTAATCAATAGCCAAAAAAGCCTGCTCCATGTGATTTCAAACTGGTCTCTTCCTTTTCTTTTTTGGGTGCTTGTGAGGTAGGCGTGGTGCCACTGAGCTAAATCCCTGGCCCTCAAGCTGGTCTTTTGCAGTTAGTCTAGGTTCAAGGAGCGACATGGATAAGTGATAAGGGTCAAAGATGACACTTTTTGTATAGCTCTTTCTGGACCATACCCATGTACAACATGGTACAAATTTGTGATAAAGGTTATCCCTTTTCCACTGAATAGCCTTTCACCTTTCTTGAAATCCATCCCTCTATAGAAGTGTGGCTCTAGGGGATCTCTTTTCTGGTCCTTTGACCTTCCATGCCTGTTTCTTGAATATAAAATTCCATCCCTGACTGCACTTACATTGCCAGTATAAGTTGTGGACTTGTATTATGGCCTTACCATTTTACAACAGGTATCTAGGTATATCTGAAATGCAATTTATAAATCAATGCCCGTAGGACAAACTGACCTCCTAAAACAACACTGATAATATTGATATATGAAACCTGTGTATTACGCAGCCTACTAATTTCAAATTTACGGTGCTCTATCCCCAAAGTGGTTTGGCACAAAGGGCATGGAGAGTGTGTTGTGTATGTGAAGGAATTCATCCTAAAACATCACTGAAGGATAATGCAGAGAGAAAGACACAAAGTGAAGCGGCCCACTTCCCAGCTCCTCTCTGGGAAGGAATCAGCTTGGCAAGCCTCATCCACACTCCCATCAGAGGCAGGATGTCGGGAGGGTGGGGGCATGTCACGTGACTGACTGACTAACGGGTTAGAGCAGAATGTGCTGCCGCACTCCCGAGGTGGCGTCTTGGGAGGGAATCTGTGTGGTTGTCTGGGGTGTGGGTGGGAAGGGCCTCGAGGGTCCACTCTGTGGGCAGTGGACCCTGGATTCGCCACCCCCTAGATGGCTGTGTGCTTGGCTGAAGTAGTCAACAATGAGTGCTAAGAGAGAGGTGCTATCAGCTGGGCACCAGAGTGGCCATTAGGACTCCCCCAAGGCCTTGCAGAGGTCTGAGCACAGTGCAGGCACACAGCACAGGCTGCACATAGAGTTGCAGGAAGGGCTCTGCTCAGTGGGCTGAGAACGGTCTTGCTCTGCCTCCCAGCCGTGCATGGGTAACACCCTCATCCAGGACACCCAGGCCCACAGAGCAGCTGGTCATCGAGGGCGTTCATGGCCCATGCTTCTGATGAGCCATGTAAGTAGCCAGAGCCCAGGCCAGCTGGGACAGAAGGAGTGGCAAAGGTCCCACCTTCCCTCCTCTGGGCTTCCTAAGCCCCCGTCCTCCCCAGGATTGCTTGAGAGTGGGACGAGATCCAGCTGCCTCCTGCTAAGGAGGATCCCAGGGCCCCTGAGAGTATACAGGACTGGACCTGGAGCCTACTGGCCTAGTGGGGAAGCCAGGCTGGCTTCCCCTGGGCATTGATCTGGCAAACCCCACCCTCCCAAGTGGGACTGATTCTCTCCTGTGGGCCTCAGAACCCTGGGCCAGCTCAGGCTTACCCAGCAACTCCCACACGGACCTTCCTCAGAGCCCTAGGGTAGCTCCCTGCTCCTGGGGTGCCTGGCCTTGCTCTCCATCTGAGGCCTGCTGCGTTCCCACTTCCGTTCCTGTTTTCTGCTGAGGTACTGGAGTCATGGCTACCTGAGTGATACTCGCAGGCAGCTGAGTTCCTGTGTGCTCAGGTGGCGGCAGCTGCTGCTGTTTCTGGTACTTCTGCTGCTGCTGCTTCCTTCTTCCTTTTTTTTTTTTTTTTGTGGTACCAGGGATCGAACTCAGGACCTTGCATTTGCAAAGCAGGTGGTGGAACCACTGAGCTAAATCCCTGACCCTGGCAGCTTCTTAATAAATGCAGCAGGTTGTCCCTATCGTCTAGGCTGAAGACCCCTGCAGTTCCCATCCAGGTCAAAAGGCTGGACTGTGCTTCACTGCCAGTGCGTTTTGAGCACACATTGCTCAGGAATTCTCACTCCAATTTCAGCTGATTAGTGAACTCTCACTGAGTAGCCCTGACATCGTCAGCCCCATGGATCACCTATCTGGGCCTGTAAGGACCAGAGCTTCCACTGTGTACACGGAAGCTTGGGCTTGGCCTTGTGTTTGTTCACAGAGACCAGCACCTTGACCTTCCAGATCAATGAGTCCCTAGCTCAGGCATTTTCCCTTTTCATGATTCCACCCACATAATGCTCAGCCCCACAGAGACAACTGCAAGGCTCAGGTGATTGTGTGCAGTGAGGGAGCAGCCCAGGGCAGCCCATGCAGGTCAGGAGCTGTGGGCCATGCGTGGAGACTGAGAAGACGGTTCCTGCAGCTCTCATGGGCACAGGATCAGCATGGGGCTCTGTGCAGCTCCTACAGCTCGGGCAGGATCCTTGGGGACAGAGCGGGGCAGGTCTCACTGGGACGGGCTTGTCCTGCGCACTGCCCAGCTGAACCCCCTGAAAGGTGGGAAGAAGTGGGGTCGCTGCACATGAAGGCAGTGTGGCAGGGAGGCCAGGGAAGAGCCTGTGGTCTCCACCTAGGCAGGGGGGCCTGGAATGATGGTTTCTCACTTGGCATAAGGGCAGTCAGTCACTGGCCTCTCAGGGAGAAGAACCCCTCTGGTGGAGTCCACAGCCCTGGCCAGAGATAGCAAAGTGGCCCAAGTAAAAAGATGGAAACCCAGGCGTAGTGGTAGATTTTGGAATTTGTTTTTCAGAATGCTTAGTGAAGCCGGATGAGGTGGTGCATATCTATAATCCGAGTACTCTGGGAGGCTGAGGCAGGAGGATCACACATTCAGCCCAGGCTGGGTAACTCAGCTACTTAGATTCTGTGATCAAATTAAACGAAAAAATTAACTGGGCTGATGATGTAGCTCAGTGAGAAGGTCCTGGATCCAATCCCCAGTACTGAAAAACAAATTTACTGATTTGTAAAGTCCCTCAGTCAAGAGGATTGTGCAGTGTGAGGGGCAAAACTGGACTTGCCCCTAGGAACTTCAGCTCCTGGTAGCCAGAATCCTCTGAGATTTCATATTTTACAATAAAATTTAATCAGGATCTAGAGAACTATCTCCATGTTCACCCAGGAGGGGTGAGGTAAGGCTGCCCTGTTCCTCTCTCCTCTGAGATGTGACAAAGCTTAGCCATGTACTACCCCATGTGACACCTGGCTTCCCATAGAGCTGCATTTCCCAGAGGTCGCTGAGATCTCGGTGCCCCTGGTCCCGGGTGTTCTGTCACGTGGAACAGGCAAATCTTAGAAACGTGAACCTGTTTCTGCCCATGCTTCTGAAATTGTAACGCAGAAAAAACCACTGGCAGGATTCCATCTTTAAAAATGAGGGTTACAACAAGGGGAAAAAATGAGAACCAAGATCTGTCATGTCAAGGTGCAAGATCCCAATAATGAATGTTACTGTACTTTACACCTAAAATGTACCAATAAACTCAATGAGGAAAAAGAAAATGAGTGTTAGAGATGCAGATGATCTTTCAGCTCTTTCATGGGCATGAAAAATCAGAAAATGTCCCAGGCAGACATTGCTTGTCACTGTGGCCACAGAAAGTGCCAAGGGACGGAGCATGGCAGGGCCATGTCCCCAGTGCCACATGAGCGGACAGGGGAGCTGTGGCCTGACACCCCAGCCCCCAGGAGCCAAGACACAGCCTGAAACCCGAGATCCAGACTGAAGGGGGAGACCTGGGGTGTGGGGAGCAGGCTTCCGGGTGGGATGACTGCGACTGCGTCATCTTTTACTCTTCTTTCACACTGCATTACTTATTTTACTGCAATAAATATTTCCTGTGTGAATGAAGAACTGCATAACTTACCGAGCAGGTCAATGAAAAATGCCAAGGATGTATCTAGATTTCCCCTTCTACACGAAGAAGATTCTCCAGTCCCTTCCAGGATTTGGTGGCCAAAGAGAAATCTGATTGCATGATGTGAAAAATGTAGAATAGGTAAATTATGGGGACATAAGATGAGTGGTGGAGTCACTTGTGGGTACCGCACTGAGGAAAATGCTGTGGACCTGAACAGCGGTGACAGGTGCCTAATACGATGACATCACTTCATGCCACCAAGCTGACATTTGAAACAACAGTCAAACCTTAACTTTTATTTAAAAATAACTATAATTTACATACATCCAGAAAATGGCAGCAAAGGTAAAGAACAAAACAAAAGCCCTGGTAATGGAGGAGAAAGGCAGGTGTGGGACAGGAGCTGGCCCCAGGGGGAGCTGAGGAGTTACCATGAGCCCCAGCTGGGCAGCTGGTGGAGAAGGGGTTCCTGGCGCTGGCTGTGGCTCTGCTGCCAGAGCTGGACAGGGAGCTGCTGCAGGTGGAGCTGACGTGAGCTCTACAACTGGCACTTCGGCTTCGGCTGGAGCTGGCCCCGCTGCTGTGAGAGAAGGAAAGATCACCAACTGTCCTTGTTCCTTCCTGAGGCAAAACCTTCCCACCACCTGTCAGAGAGCTCTGAGCTTCCCCAGGAAGTCGCCCCAGACGGCGTCCACCCACTGCCTGCTGAGTGTCCCCTGTTCCTAGGACGCCCAGCACTTGGAAGCTCTCTCTGCCCAAAGGCCCATCCATCCCCTCATGCCCACAGGCTCATACCCCCTTGTTCCTCACGCTTGGGCTCTGTCTCAGTGGGCTCGTAGCGCTCCAGCTGAGCCAGCAGAAGTGTGCCAGTGTGATAGACCTGGGACTGCAGCTGTAGGAAGGACTCGATGACAGAGGACATGGAGCTGGGGAAGGCAGATAGGAGGCAGAGTGAGAGACCAGGCCATTCCTCCCATACTACCTGCCCAGGAAGCGTGCAGGGATGGATACTTGAGCCTCCTGCCCCATCTGCCCGTGCCCCAGCCCCACCCTCTCCCCACCCGCTATAGGGCAGTCCTGGCTCAGGGGGCCCTGAGAGCCTGACAGGAGGCTCCATGGGAGGGGACCTTGTTCAGTGGTGTGACCGCCTCTGTCTTCCTGAGGGCAGCCTGACACGGTGTCTCCGTGCCTGTCCCCACTGTCAGCTCCATGAGGACAGAGTCTGGTGTCTGTTGTGTGGTTGCACTCAAGGGCACAGGGCTGCTGCTCCATAACTAAGTAGTGAGGGACAGTAGGCGTCTGTCCTGCCCTGCCTCTCCTCAAGCTGTAGTTCCTGTGATGTTGTTGCCCAGTGTCTCTGCTTCTTCTGCTCTCCCCTTGAACTGCTGTGAATCCCCTGCTGCTGTAGCTGGTCTAACACGGGGCCAAGGGCAGGATCGACCCTTATGATAAGAGTCCCCTTTCCATCCTGCAGTCCCAGTGTGAGCTTGATTTTCTCAGCACTGCCCTGCTCAGAGTTGCCAACTGAGGCTGAGAGAGGGGATTGCAGGTTCCCAAGATTGGAGCCATAGTGGCCAAGTCCATTGTGCTGCTGAGGGCAGAACTCACCTTTCTAGGCTCCCCTCCTGTGGGGAGGAAATGCAGGCCCTTGTGGGTTCCTGGAAGGAGGGCCCGTTGATGGGACAGCTGTCCGGGAAGGCCTGCTCCGGGGGCTCAGAAAGGGTGTGTGGTCGGCCTGTCTGAGCCGTCCTCACTGCGCAGACCTCTGCCAGGCTCTCCGCCTCCTGATTTCCAATCTGTGATGGGACAGTGGGGAGACATGGAGTTGGGGTCCCAGCCAAGGCTCATCAGGAGGGTTGGAAGATTAAAACCTGATCAAACTCTGAATCGTCCACAGTGGCTCCTACCAGGAGGGCTCGGAAGAGTGATTGTTGTATGAAATTAAATTTCAGAAAGGACACCTAGAAATGCTAGCATTTCAGGCCAGCTTGTTAGCGGAGGAGAGGCTGTGTGTAACTCCATGCATGAAGAGCAATAGCCCCTGGGTCCTGAGACCCCTCCCAGGGTAGAGAGGATTCCTCAATCCACATGGACGCCTGGGGCCAGCAGGGACAATGCAGTGACATGGCAGAGTGCGATCATGGCAGAAGTGAGGTGACCCAGTGTCCGTGTCCTTTTCCTCTTCTCCCCAGCATGTGGATAGTGACCTTGCCCCTGGCCACGGTGCTGGCTGGGCAGAGAGCATGTGGATGCTGAGCTCATGGCATCTGGAGTCCTTTGTAAGCAGGACCCTTGGCCACTGCTCCCAAGTCTTGCAGGGAGGAGGTGAAGGTGTTCATCTGTCCCTGAGGGTCCTCTCTGTCCCGTATCCTCAGCACAGAGTGACCTCTGCTCTGTCTCACATCCTTTGCCTGAGATGGCCCCTGCTGTTCTTATGGCCCCAGTGTCTGTCACAGGCTCATGGCACACAGGCCCCGGTGACAGCTCGATGCCAATGTCCTGTGGGCTGTTCCGTGGGGACAGTGCCCAGCAGCTGGCAGGAAGCATGGGGTTCTACCTGACCAGTATGTGCTGTGGTTTTTTTAAAAAAAAAAAAAACCCAGGTAACCTTGTGCTCCCCAAACACAAACAGCTGTGTCACAGGCTTCTACCCCAGGGGGACAGGAGATGTCTATGGAGGCTGTGGGCCGTCAGTGGGCACTGCCCTCTCCTCCTGCCAGCCCTGTCATGGGTGAGATTGGACAGGACCCCGAGCTCACAGCTTCGCAGTGCCTGGTCCTGCCCAGGAGGAATTTTAATCCTCACCCTGCCCACCCCCCAGATAGTGAAGACCTAGGGTGGGAGTTGTTCAGGAGACTCACAGTGGTGTCCAGGCCTAAATGTTCTTGTCCTGGACTCACTTTCTCAGAGTGTCTGGTTTCCAGGCCCAGGGAGGCCTGCCCATGGCTCCCCCTCATCTCAGGGCCCAAGGCCTCTGGGTCTGGAGAGACCTGCCCTGTGCTGCCCACGTGGGCTGAGCGGTTCCTGCCCAGTGGCCTGTTGCGCCTGGACTTAGTCATCCATCCTCTCACTCGTTCCCAAGTGCTTTCCCTGCGAGGGGTCCTGAGGCTGCGGCCTCGAGATCTGGGAAAGCAGCACAGCATGTTCACTGCTGAGCGTCTCCAGCCAAGTGACTCTTAAGCAGCAGTCGTGACTGTGATGCCTATTGACTGTAGGGTTCCGAGTTCTGTTTGGACCAGTCACCAAGGAAGTGATGTCATGTGTTGGGGTCTGTGGCTGAGTCTCACCCTCTGCTAAGAAGACCCTGTACCCCTATTTCTTTCCATGGTGAACAAGTCTGTGTGCTCCTTAGCATGAGCAATGAGAAACTAGAAAAGCTGTCTGATATTAGAGTTTGATGAATTTGAAGTTTTAATGCAACACACACACACACACACACACACACACACACACACACACACACACACACACATATAGATACTTAAGATGTAGCAGAAATATTGGAAGTGTGCTTTTCTGTCCAAAGGATTCATTCTCTCTCAAGACACTGTGCTCAGGGTCCTAGAAAATGTTTCACAAATGCCCATAGCAATTTTCCTTAAAGGATAGAAGTGTTTCAAATTATATCCCCTTCGTGGCCAGGCATGGAGGATCCAAAGCAGGCTGTGTGGGAGGCCGGCAGTGGCCCTCTAGGAGTTTGACAAAAGGAAACTTCTTCACCTCTACACTCAAGGCATTGATACAGTCTGTAACATTCTAGGACTCTGCTTGTTAAACTTGTTGCTGCAGTGGGAGAAACTCAAGGAGACAGCCAAAGATCTGATGTTCTTTGCAAAGAGTCAGAAAATCCAGTCTTTGCATAAAAGATACAAATAGTTGCTTGGTGCTTCCTGTTGATGTGAACCTATAAAAGGAGCTATTTCTGGGAAATAAATCAGATTTCTCTTTGTCTCCACTCAGGTTTGAGTGTTCTTTCCTTTCTCAATCCTCACTCCCTGACTCAGGCATGTTCGTGTTGTGACGGCTGGACCGCCACAGGCTGTAACTGTCAGGTGCACACGGACAACTTCTCACACCGAGATCTTGAACTCGGTCACAATGTGCCGTGTTCGGTGCTCAGACCTAGAGAGAGGGGCCAGCAGGTGGTGAACGCGAGGTGCAGGCTTTGGGAGACCTGGAGACCCTCGCCCCACTGGTGATGCAGAGCACCTTGACACACCACTGGGGAACTCTCCTGTGGCCACTGCTGTTCCCTGTGATCCCCATCCCAAGAGGACCACTTGCTTTGTGTCCCCAGTGGAGAGTTTGCCATTTCTAGAGTGGGTAGAGCCATGACCATTCTTTATAATATTTTCTTCAGTTTTTCTTAAAGGAGTAAACCCTGCTGGGTTTCCCTGTGCTTCTGGTCATTGGTGAAGCTATCACAGGCCATTGTGTGGAAGGGGCATGAATTGTTCCCACATTTATGTACTGATGGCTGTTTTTCTGTTTCTAGTGTTGACTTAAAAGTGAGGCCGCTGTGACCTCTCTTACACACCTGCTTGTATGGTAGAGACTGTAATTTCTTGAGGGAGATACTTAGATGAGAAATTGCTCAATCATAACTGCTGAGGTATGTTTAATTTGTTTTTTTTTTTTTTTGGTACAAGGGATTGAACTCAGATCCTTGCACTCACAAGGCAGGTGGTGCAACCACTGAGCTGATTCCCCGGCCCTAATTTTAAAATTATTAAAATGTGTTTGGAAGCAGTTGTCTTCAACAGAGCTTGAGAATTTTTGTTGTTGCTCTTTTTTTTTTCATTTTCTTTGCTTGTTTATTTTTTATGAGAACTGTGAAATTATCCTAGAATGTTCAGTGCTTTGTGATTTGATTTTGTATAGTCAGTATGAGGACAAGCTGTTTATATTATATAAATTCAAAATTTTTGTTTTGGAGAAAATGTAAAAAGGAGCACCTAAAAATCACCTAAGATTTAAGTAATGCAAAAACCCTTTCAGTTTCTCTTTCTGTGTGTCTTAGTCAACACACCTTGCATTGTATTTACCATCATGTAGAAACTGATCTCCTTTCAGGAATTTCATTGTTTCAGTTTTGTTTTTGATCTTTGAAATGAGGTGGCTGCAAATATGCTACTACATATATCTATTCAGGATCTGGATATATTAGTATGGAAAGATACTTGTTCATTTTTTTTTCTAATTTTTTTTGTCATAGAATTTGAACCGGGGACTTTTCATTGATCTATATTTCCATTGATCTATATGTTTTAAATTTTGTTTTCTTTTTATTTCGCTAATTCACTAGTAACTAATTCACTAACGAATGTACTATTTCAGCCAAGCTGGGCTTAAATCTGTGATCCTCCTTCCCCAGCCTCCTGAAGCTCTGGGATTGCAGGTATATTACATCCTCATGTGGTTATTGACAATAACTGCACATATTTATAGTGTACAATGTGCTGTTTTGATCTGTAGCTCCATTGTATACATAGTCCATCCGGTTATATACCCACAGCCATCCTAACCCACAGTTTCCTTTACGTTGTATAGGAGTAAAACTTCCCAGGAAGTTGTGAGAGTTCAAGCCACTTGGGGCTTGCTGTGCTGTCAAAAGATGAAGCCAAGGTGTACACAGAACTCCGCCTGACCCAATCTCTTAGGAGACTCCAGCAAAAACTACAAAAATAAATAAATAAATAAATAAACAAACAAACAAACAAATAAATAAATATCCAAACAAAAGAAAACCCAGCAGTGAAAGTAGGCTTTCATTTATTCTGGTGTCTGGGCCATCTGATTTAATCTTTGTGTCTGGTGTTGCAGTATGAGACTGTTTTGATTGCTGTCACTTTATAATATACTTTGAGATCAAGTGTTGTGATGCATCTACCTGTGATCTTCTTGTGTAGAAATGGGAATGCATTTTGTAGTGCTTTGTAGTTCCATATGAATATTCAGATCACATTTTGTATTTACAGGAAAGTGTCACTGATGTCTCCATAATTGTGATAACTCTTTTCCCTTCTCCTTGTGCCATGATTTTCAGGCAAAAGAAGAATTTGGTTAAATTTTCCTATGTATTCATTGTTGTTGATGCTATTATATATTAAGTTGTTTTTTATGTATTGGGGGATAGTTTATATGTATAGAAATGGAATCTATTTTTCCATGCAGAATTTATATCCTGAAACTTCACTGAACTCATTATTTCTAACAGATTTTTAGTGAGAGTCTTAGGTTTTCTGTATACAAGTATGTGTCCTGTGAAAGTAGGTAACTTTTACTATTTCCTGTCTGATATGGATGTTTTTCTCCTGGCTCATTTCAGTCTCTGGGACTCGGGTAATGTGTTGAATGGAAGATGCCCTGTGGGAATCCTGGTCTTATTCCTGAAGTTAAAGGAGAAACTTTCAGCTTCTACCCTCTGAGCAGCCGTCAGGTATGGGCTTGTCCTGCAGGACGTTTCCTGTTTTGAGCTCTATTCCTTCTGCACGTGGTGTGTGAGCAGTTTCTATCGTGAAACAATGTAACACTGAAGTTTTGCAAATGATTTTTTTCCAAAGATACTGAGGTGTTATAATTTTTTGTAATGTGGTATTTCACACTGAATGGCCTGTGTATATTGGACCATTCTTGCACAGGTGAGGTCAGTCCCATCGCATTGACTGTGGCATTGGAGCCTTTGAATGTGCTGTTGAATTTAGCTGATATGTATTTTGTCAGCGTTTTTCTGTCAGTGTTCACTAAGAATATTGGTCTATATGGTGTTTCATTTTGTTTTGTTTTCAGCACATCTTTGTCTACATTATCAAGGTGATTCTGCCATCTAAAATGAATTTGGAAATAGTTCTTTTCCATTTTCTGAAGGACTTGAAAAATGTTTGATATTCACTCAATATTTGATAAAATTGACCAAGGCATCACTCTTATCCTGGGCTTTATTTTTGCCTTTGCTGTTTGCATTGTGCAGTTTAGATTGTTGACTTATACCTTGTGTTAATTACTGGTCTGTTCATTTGTCTGTTTTTCCTTATTTACTCTGGGCAAGTAACACCGAAGAGACCCCCTACCATTAGAAGTCCCTTCCCATTTCTTCTCAGTATGAAATATTCACCATAGGGAATATTCAACATCTACTTGTTTTGGTATTTTGAAATTGATCTAGTCAGAAGAGTTCTTACATATGTATATATGTAAATGTGCCCATATATATACGCATATACGATAGCTCTATGAGTAACATCTTCAGGTACATACTCTTTTAAGGCACAGTATTGGGGTGGTGGTCAGTGCTAGAGGGAAAGCATTGGATAGTAAATCCTTAAAGAGATGGTTCTGTAAGTTTTCCCCAAGTGGAAAGGCATGGATTTCTAGACTGCAGGGTTGCATCAGCTGATAGAACAGTGGAAGGATACAGACCCCCACTGGGGTGCATCAAGGTGAGATTTGGGGACGCTAAGTTGAGGGAGAAAATCCTAAAGTTTATCAGACAGAACAGACATACCAAAGATAAAGAATCAAATGGCTCTGAACATCTGAAAAATAACTGGAAGTTGGGTGATTGTACTTTCCCAGCTGTATCTTATACACATTCTTTATGAAGAAGCTTCTAAAGTATGTATTCTTCCAGAAAAAGGAGTAGGCCAAGAAAGGGAAGTAATGGGTTCAAGGGTATAAGGGGCCCCGGGCGAGAGACTGGAGAAAGGAATCCCTAAGCTAGGACAAGAAATCTCTACCACAGTGATGACAGAAGCAGCCCTTCCGTGGTAGGATTAATCATGGATTCAAGGTTTAGAGAGGAAGACATTTTTTTTCTTTAAGTTTACTGGTACTTTTTAGGTAAAGAGAAGAAGACATTTAAAATGTTCACAAATTGTGAATCCCCAAGGTTCTACTGGAATCCAGCTGAGCTAAGACTCATTCCCAAAGTCTTGGAAATTCTTTCCTTCAAGAGGTGGAGGTTCAGGCCCTTCCTTGTGTATGTGTACTGGTCCATGTAATTCATCTAAAATGTGAAGAAAGAAGTGAAAGTGATGATATGAGTCTCAAAGTCTAAAGAGAAATGAGGGTCTGGAAGATTGCTTGAGTGTAGCTGAGGTGGAGGCTGTGTGTGGAAAAGCCTTATCTTCCTTATCAGGAGTCAGAAATTTAACCTCCACCAAAACATCAGAGAGAGGCTGAATGAGCTTGTTACTCAGGAAGTGCAGTGAACACTGGAAGAAGTGGTTGCAAGAGTGGAAAGGAGGAAATGGCAGCAAAAGGGGGACCTACTGGAGGTTGGCCAGGGGATGGGAAGGCAGATTTGCACTCTAATTTTACTCCTTGAACAGTTGGCATGAATTCAATGTAAAACATACATTAAAACAAAAAGAAGAAAGAGTATTACTAAAATATTCATGGAAAGGTGTGGAAAGGTTGTGTAAATGTCTGTGTTCCTAATCAGCGCTATGCATTTTTTTGCAGTGCCTAATTCTCTGCCTCCAAAGTGGTCATTACAG